AATGTTTTCAAGATGTATGTATGTATATATATGTATATATATATATATATATATATATATATATATGTCATTATTGTTCTTCAACGATTCTTATTTTTTCTAAGACCTTTCTAATGACTCAGTCAGTCTAAGGATTTCTCGACTACTGTAAAGACCATGCATTTGCCATTTGGTCAACACGTGTACTTATTTATTTGACCATACATTTGGATCAATTTTTGTGCATGTTTGTGCATTTAACATTTAGAATAACTTATAGATGTTTTAACATTTGTTTATTTAAATATATATATGCGTGTGTGTGTGTGTGTGTGTTATTTATATATAAATAACAATGTTACATAACCATGTACATAGATGTACATTATTGTACATTTTTATCTTGAGTTTCTTTATATCTGTATATATGTATGTATATATACATAAATTGTTGCATTATTTAAATATAATAACAATACCGAAGTACCAATAATTCTCATATAAAAAAAAAGAACAACAAAAAGAACATTAACCTTAGTTTCCGATCTGTTACGCTAATCTAGAGTATGTCTATCAACCGAATAACGAAGCTCTATAAACGTAATTTACTATTTCATATCAACGCGAACAAGATTATGGAATAACTTTTTATGTATAAAAATATAAACATTATCTTCGAATGTGAACGAATGACTAAAACCTTCGATAAGAATGAAGACGCCATTTTTTCGATATATCTAATATTCCCTAGTATTTCACTTTAATCCTAAAACAACTAATGCACCTTTTGCAATGCAACCATTGCATGCGCAATGTATGCATCTGATAATTATATATAGATATATAGATATATATATTCGCGAGTAAGTAAATCTTTAAAAGAAATTACATAAGAGAGAAGAAATCCTTAAAAATAATCAATATCATATAATTCCGATATGTCGATCCAATATATACGTACATACATATATACATCGATAAATATTTACATACGTTTGATCTTTCGCATAACCTATAAAACAACAGATTTCTGTTTTCTCTTAATAATAATGTAAGCACAGTACAGTACAGTACAGTACGTAAATAATTACGTTTCGTTTATGTTTCGTAGAAAGAAAAATATCTCCAAAAAAAAAGAAAAAACTTAGTTGCGTCCGATTATTACGATAGGATAGTATGTATTATAAGATCTGATGTCAATCAGTCGTAAGAGAGATTCGAGGTCACCGAACGTAAGACAACACAGGGAGGCGGCGAAGAAAGGCAAGCGCGGCTGATGCGCGCGTAGCCTGGCGGCGGAGCCGCAATTGCGCTTTACACGATGGGCGTGTCAAGTGGACGGGGCTTACCACCATTTTGCCGGTTTTCGGCTACGCCCATAAGCGACACGCCCCCACCCCCATTTGAAAACAACGATCGAACGTGTGGTGTCGTGAATGCCCGGTTATAAAGATACCTAAACGGATTACCTCGTTCCACGGCCGTCCCTTTCCTGCTCGTAGCGAACTATTCTATCGCGTCGTCGCCGATCGATCGGTTCGTTCTTCCTTTACTGCCTCTCCCTCCTACGGCCCCCAATCCGCCCCGCTCACATCATCGTTTCTATACTCTTACGCATACACACACACAGACACACAAATACATACACACATACACACACGGATTTGCACGAGCATGAGCGCGAGCGGATACGCTCTTACATGTATACATACATACATAAATACGGATGTACCATGCTAGCTCGTTCGACGAGAACCGTATCATCCATTCGTTGTCCCTCACGACTCTTTGAAACCCGTACTCATGATACTTATATTCCATGGACATTTCTCGATTACTAATTACAAACGCTTTATCCAAATGCGTAAATTCCGATATATAACCGATTAAAAAGTAATTACTATTTATACAAAACAGCTAAGTCTATACCAAATATGGCGATGTCGCTCCAATTCCAATCTCTCTTTTCGCGTTGTTGCCATGTTAAATATTTATTCAAATGGATTGTAATATTAACCCGATGGAACAGTTGTATACGTTCTTTTATCATTGTGATTAGGATGATATGACGTTTAAGAAGAATAAGAGGTAATCTTGTCTGTACCTTTACAAATGTGACATTTGAACTGAATTTAAGTTTCCAATGGCGTCCGACGAAGAGTATTAGAAGGATAATAAGTTCGTACCGTTACGAATTCTCTTGGGGATGGTTATGCGTGGAATTTAATAATCTGAATCGTTCTATTCTATGCAAGAGGGGGTACATAGGGAGAAACATAGGAAGCCATAATAACTATGGAAGTGTTTAGCACTGTAGATTTTCTAACAAGAATTGACAGATGTTTTGAAAATGAGTTTTCGCAGTAACATCGTTATCATATAATTTTACGTTACCCGATAGAATTCAGTTTAAGATCTTGAGAACGGGCAGATCGGCAATGAGTAAGCGTTTTAACATTAAACCATAATTTACCTTTTAAAAATCGACTTTTGAACGTTATAGAAATCTAATATCTAGATAGATAATAACGTGTCCAAAGAAGACAAATAGCGATGCGATTTCATTGTTAGATTCGTACAAAATTTACATTTGTCGCGATTTAAGAAATAGCAATAAAACGTTGATTTTCAAAGATTAGAATCCACGTTAAATAGGTACACACATAGATGTCGAATTATCGATAATTAACACGTTACATTGAATCTATCGATTCAACGAGAACGACACTTACAACATTTCTATCGTCCAATAAAATCATCTTAAGGTTTATTCGTTGTAAAAATTAAAAAAATACCAAAAGATATTTAGATAAGTAAGTAAGTAAGTAAGTAAGTAGATAAGTAAGTATTCGTATGAAAGCAAAAGCGAATTTAGAAACGTTGCGTATTCGTATCTTCGCAAGAACCGTACAACATATATAAGTTTACGAGCGCGACCACGAAGAAAGTTTTCAACCTAGAGTCTAAGAAAGACAATGCTTGGCTTACTTGTGTTCGTAGACCTAACTAAGCTAACGCGACCCACATACCTTTAAAAAATGCTTCCAATTTCGATGACGTTAAATTTTCGATCCATTGTATTTTTTGCATACGCATTTACGTTTTTATCAAGCGCGAACGATATCTACATCAATATATGTGTATATATATATATATATATTTATATATATATGTATATATATATAAAGGATCGCGTGTGTTCTTATGATCGAAAATTTGCGAAAAACGTTATATAAACAGTACATCGTTATCGGCCGTAAACGTTTTTGAAATCCGATAGGATAGGGCGCCGCGCAACGTGAGTTTTGGCGCAAGCGTATTGATGGTCATCATCGAAAGATTCGAGCGCAGAAGCCCGAGCGAAACGATCATGGAGGTAACGGTTAAGAAACTCGATCGATTTAGCGATCATTAGCGTTAATTAGCGTCAACGTAGTTTGTACCTCTTAAACAGTGGTAAATAGGGTTAAGTAGGCAGGAGAGTCAACGTCGTACGCTAAAAGAATTTCTTTTAAGCTATTGCGAGCGAGTTGCTTCGCAAAGCGTATCGCGTCCATAGCTTCGGTATCCGTAATAAAGCGACGAATGATAGGTTATGAGTAATTATAAGATTCTAGAAATGAAATCGTTCAAAATGGTTCGATTGGATTCGTACGATCAGATCGATCGCGGAGAAAAAAGAACAAGTTAAAAAGAGAGAGAGAGAGAGAGAGAGAGAGAGAGAGAGAGAGAGAGGCAGAGAGAGAGAGTGAGAGAAAGAAAGAAAGAGAGAGAGAGAGAGAGAGAGAGAGAGAGAGAGAGGGTAGAAAGAAAGAAGGAACCGCGCCCACGTAGTAAATCGGTGGCAACGACGGTGGCGTCGTTATCGGTCGAAGAGGAGGAAGGCGTCGCGCGAGGGGGAGCTTGAGAGTAAGAGAGAGAGAGAGAGAGAGAGAAAGAGAGAGAGATAACAAAAAGAAGAGAGAGAGAAAGAGAGAGTGTATGGGAGAGCGAGAAAGAGAGAGAAAGAGTGAGAGAGCGACGCCGAGCGCTCGTCGGCGACGCTCGTCGACGCTCGTCGGCGCTCGTGCGAGTTCGGCGTAGCGAGGCGGGGTTTAGGCGGGGTCGATACGCGAGTCGACCGCGTTTTCTCCTCGCTTCCGTACAGCGTCGTTCTAATCGCGACGGTATCGAAAAGCGGCTCGGCTAGTATCGCCGTTGCTCGGCGCCACCGCAGCGCGATCTCGCTCGCTCTCTCTCGGTAACGAGTAACTTTCTCGATTCGCTTCGCGATATCGCGTATCGGCACTCGCTCTCTTTACGGTGCACATCGAGCGGTACTCAGAGAAGAGAAAGATAGGAGAAAAGAAACAGAAAGAGAGGGAGAGAGAGAGAGAGAGAGAGAGAGAGAGAGAGAGAGAGAGAGAGAAATAGAAAAAAAAGAGAGAGAGAAAAAATAAAGACAACAGACAGACGGACAAACAGACCGACAGAAAGAGAGAGAGAGAGAGAGAGAGAGAGAGAGAGAGAGAGAGAGAGAGAGAGAGAGAGAGCACCGAGCGGGACATAGTCAACGCATAGTATTTACCGAGGCTACACTCTTTCCCGTCTACTCTCCGCGTTGCTACGTAGATCTCTCTGTGTGCCGACGCGGGGGTGGGGTGGGGTGGGGTGGTTGATCGGGTGGGGGGGCTGTTGAAGAGAAGGGAGGAGGGGTGTTCGGTGGGGGATAGGTATATAGTAGGAGGAAAAACGAGGGTCGGTGTGCGCGCGCGCGAGCGCCCTTTAGCCCACCGCCGACGCCGCTACCGTCGTTCGATCGTCTCCTCGGCCGCCGTCGCGACGACGACGACGACGACGACGGCGACGACGACGACGACGACGACGACGACGACCACGACGACGACGACGACGACGACATCGACGACAAGGACGACGACGACGACAACGACGAGGACGACGTTCGAGGACGAGGAAGGATACATCGAGGAGACATCGAGGGCTGGGTTACGTCTGTCTGTTTGTCTGTCTGTTGGTACAGTTTGATATAGATTCCAAAAGTCGATTAACCCACCGGCGTGACATGTCTGTATTATTTCCTCGATCGGTTGAGGAGGGGTGGGGGTGTGTCGGGGATGGGAACGAGGACGAAGGATAAATCATATCGCCGTTGCTCCTCATCGTCGTGAGGACCGGACCGTGCTAATTTAAGGAGAAAGAGAAAAAAAGAGAGAGAGAGAGAGAGAGAGAGCGAAAAAAGAGAGAGAGAGAGAGAGAGAGAGGAGAGAAAAAACGCGGTTGAAGTCGTGCGGAGTCAATCGCAGTGAATGAAGGTGGCCCAACGACGACGACGACGACGACGACGACGACAACAACAACGACGACGACGACGACGACGACGACGACGACGACGACGACGACGAAAACGAGAAAGAGGAGGAGGAGGAGGAGGGCGAGGGACAACGAGTTGCGTCGAAGGTAAGAAAGGATAACGACTACGATGGTGGATGGTGTTGTAGGAGGAGGAGAAGGAGGAGGAAGAGAAGGTGGAGGAGGAAGCGGAGGTGAAGGAGGTGATTGCGACGGGAATAAGAGGGGAGGGAGTAAGGCAACGGCGACTAAACGCGATAGAGCGACGTTCTCTCTCTCTCTTCTCTCTCTCTTTCTCTCTCTCTTCCTCTTTCTTTCTCTGTTTCTCTGTCTCTCTATCGACAGCGACGGCGATGGCGACGACGACGGTGGCGGTGACGGTGGCGGTGGCGATGGTGGTGGCGGCGTCGGTGGCGGAGGCGGCGGCGGCGGCGGCGGCGGCGGCGGTGGTGGCGGTGGTGGTGGCGGATAGCAACGTTGCCACCTCCTCTTCTCGGTTGGCGCGGCGCGCGCGAGAGGAGCGCCGATACGGTGACGGCGAGCGAGAAGACCGTCGTTGCCACGTCCGCCGCTCTCTCTCTCTCTCTCTCTTTCCTTTTTCTCATTCTATCTCTCTTACTTTTGCGCGCGCGCGCGAGCGCACGTTCTCGTGCGCTCCTTCTTTCCCTCTCTCTCTCCCTCTTCTCTCTCTTTCTCTCCTATCTACTCCTCTTTCTCTTTCTCTCTTACTCCTCTTCTACATTGTGTGTACGTACGTCCTCTTTCTCGGTCCCACTCGTTGCGCCACCTCCCACCCGCGGTGGCATACTCGTGGGCACAGACCGCACCACCGTTCTAAGGCTGTCGTGCGTAGCACGCCCGTAACTCTCCTCGACCACGCGATATCTTCTTAGTAGTAGTAGTAGTAATAGTAGTAGTAGTAGTAGTAGTAGTAGTAGTAGTAGTAGTAGTTGTAGGTAGTAGTTGGTAGTAGTAGTCTAGTAGTAGTTGTGCGAGTTGCCTTCGCGATTATACATATGTGCCTTAGTCGGTAGCGCGGTGTGGGATCCCGTTGCTACGCCAGTAGCGTCGAAAGCGCACGACGTTGCAACGCTCTCTCTCTCTCTCTCTCTCTTTCTCTCTCTTTCACTCTCTCT